TCAGCATGTGAGCTGGATGGCAGCATGGCTTTTCTGGCAAGACTCGGCCTCCTGCCTGCCCTGCCCTGCCAGGTTTTATCAGTTGGTCCCCTTTGCAAGAGCACAACTTATCACACTCAAATGCCATGCAAAAACCACAGATGACCACAGCTCCTGCCTCTGGCTTCATCCCTTATCTCTGGTTATCAGCTGGAGCATGGAAAGATGGCAGTGAGGCTGAAAATACCCCAGGGAGGACAGGTGCTCTCTTCTTCTAGCCTTGTGGCAGCTTGCAGATTTCTGTTATGAAAATATATACCAGCATCCCCAGTTGCACAGGTCTCAGAAGGACATGTCACCTCATCCAGAAGGGAAGGACTGATTTAAAAAGGGGAACAAGCCAGGCCATATTTTTTGCAAAGCTATAAACCTCCAACCCTCCGCTGAGCTGGAGGGAAATGATGCCCATGCTGTCAGAGGGATGTCCTGAAAGAGCTGGGGGATTTGATGTGTTAATACTGCATGGGGTGAACTTGGGACACTAAACACAAATGGAGGAGAAGAGGCTGAATCCACGCTAGTGCTTTCTCAATGTCAACTTTTCTGGCTCTTACTCTATTGGTGCAGGCACCAATGATGGAACAGCAACACCCCAGCCTCAGCTGCTTGAACTCTGTTGAGGCAGCAGGTAAGAGAAACTTTCCCCTTGGCTTTGGAACACTGCTACTCATGATCCTGAGAAAGGATGGGCTGGAAGCAAGAAAGAGGATGTTGTTACCCAGGAGCCAAAACTACACTCATCATCCAGGCAGGACGCGTCTGTGCCAGGTCCCTACAGCTTCTCAGGAGTCTCCTCTTTTTCCAGCCTACAGCACCATTAGGGAAAATACCTCTCCTCCACAGTAGAAAGCAGCTCCAAATGCGGCAGATTTACAAGTGTCAGTAGCTCAGCCCATTTGGTCCCTCAGCTACCGCCCATAACACGGCTGTATTCACCCTAAAGCTTGCTCGTAAATAAAACATGTTCATATCAAACCACACCGCAGCCATAGGAATGATGGGAAGCCAGGGAGTCTGCACAGCCCCCGTCTGCCTTCCCAGGCACATCACAAGGATGCATTGTAAAGGCTGCTTAGCATTCGTATAGCACATACACACAATCAAAGCTAAAAATCAACTTTTAAACCCAGGGCCATCTCTTTTCAAAAAGGGAAGGAGAGGAGAAAAGGGGGAGGTGCTGGGCTTTGCCAAGTGTCAGATGCACCGTACAACTCCACTGTGAATGGAAACAAGGCTGGCTGGAGGCTGCCTTGGAAGAAACAAAACCAGAGAGAAATCATAATATCTCCAAAGGACTTTTTCAGTTATTATTTTCAATGTGTGTCTCTGAAATCCTCTAGTGATTCCCAGGCAATTTGAAATTATTATAGGTGAACAAATAAAATGCCAGAAGAGTTATTAAAAATAGTTCATCAAACCACAGAAAGATTACATTGGAAAAGAGCATAAGCTGAAGACAGGGAGTTCCCTTCAAAGAATAAACTCAAATGAACTTTTTTCTCCACTGAAAGTAAAAGAATTGTACTGTCAGCTCTAAAGCACATCCCCCTACTCAAACTAAATTATTTTTTCTTTTCCCCATGTTTTCTAATTGCAAACCATAACTGCCCAGGAGCCAGCTGTGCAGATGAAAGACTTGAAGACACAATGTGAGCCCTGCTCCATCTAGCTCTGCTCCTAAAAAACCAGCCTGGACACAGCCCAGCCTGGCAAATGGGGACTCACCTGCTCATGAAAATATGGCTACTCAACTACCCATTACCCTTTATTTTTGGCATTCATCCTCTCAGACCTTATTGCAACAGGACCTCTGTTGCTTTCCACCGAGGTCCGTAAAGTTTTGTCAAAAACCCCTAGAAAGCTCATGTCCACTGCCTGTAATGCAGGTACATTTGCACTGACCCAGCACCCCGTCTGCAGGTGACACATGTGACAAGTCAGGGGCAGCACTTTGCTCTCAGCTTTGGCAGATGCAAGAATTAACATGTAGCATCAGGGCTTGGAGACCCTTTACGACAGAGTTCCCCTCTCTCTGAGAGTAGTTTAGCCATCTTGCAGTGTGGACGAAGCCACACGGGGCTGCAAGATGTCCACACCAACCATGCAATTATCATTTTTGCCTTACCTGCTCCAGTAGAGGAGAATTTCTTCTCCCCACTCTCTGAGGATGGGTAGCATATTGCTGGATGCCCTCTCTCCCCAGATTATGATCAGGAAGTTGATTGTGAACACAGACAGTGCTTAATGATGTCTTGTTCTACTGGATCTTACATAGTCATTAACTCTATAAAGAGATTTCAAATAAGATTGCACTTCTCTGAGTACAGGATGTACCTACCTAGGTTCCTTCAGACCATCAGGAAGCCAGCTGCACTGTTAGGAAAATGTGTAAGCAGTTGCTGTGTGTTGTGCTCAGGCCCAGACCTGATGGCCACATCTGGCTGGAAACACGCATTATGATCAGCAGCCCTGAAGCCAATTTGGACCAGTCAAGTTCATCCCTGACCTAAGCATGGAATCACTGTGGCTGGAGGCTGCACACTCTCCCTTGGGACTGGGTTTACTGATGTTTGAAGTGCGCATTATTAATGAAAAAAATTCCCTGCAGTTATTTTCGTATGATAAAAATCCAGTTATTACTCTTAAGCGTGGCTCTTTGATACAGAAGGTTTTCTCTCGAAAAGTTTCAAGGACAGCAGCTTCCCCTTTCCTGCGAGAAAGGCTTTCGGCAGAAATTAAAGACGAGGTAATAAAAGAACATTGATATTACTCCAGTGCAATAATGCCCTTACTGACTAAGCTGTGACTGACATTGAGTGCAAGGGAAGCCCCCTTCACCAGCCAAGGCAGTTTTGTGGATGCTGAAGACAAGTGCATTACATTGCCTGAGCTGAGCAAGCAGTGTGTGAACGCTCACACTCACAAACATGACCACAGGCACAAGCAGCTCCCCTGCGCTGCTGGGAACCCACCAGGCAAAACACTCCTATCTGTGCCACACACCATGAGCTGCTCCTCTTGGGTCAAATCCTTCAGAGAAGATGGTTTTCCCAGCCTAGGTTTTCCCCCAGGCCTACAGCACGGCCAAGAATGTCTCAGAAGCCACTGAATTTGGGTGCTAAACCTTATGTGTACTTGAGTGGGATTGTCAGAAAACTGAAGCTCTCGCAGGCTCCTTATGTCACTTCCAGGAATTTCAGCCCAGCTGCCTGTGACACCTCAGTGGGCTCGGTTCCTTCAACCCACTGATATTGCAACAGACCCCCAGGAAAAATATTTATCTTTCAACGTGGTGGAGCCTTGCTGTTCCCTAAATACCTCACACAGGTACAAATGAGCCCCCTCCATGTCACATCTAGAAATCACAGATAGCTCTTTGAATTACCAGTTTTGGCTTCAATACACCCAAGGAGCAGCACCAGAGAGGTTCAGGGTAGCCAGGGGGATATACAGACCCTTACTTTGATACCCAGATCATGCTACAGAGCCTTGCTGGCACCTGTCCATGCAACAAGAGCTCTGCCATGGGCATGCATACATCCCTGCCACCAAGTTGCTGCCAGCGACACCAGCTTTGAGCATTTTCCTGAGGGTCCCTCCACAAAAGTGAAGCAATGTAACTGAACTGCCTCAAACATCCTTCCCCTACATGCCTCAGGGTGGAGGGAGACCTGCAGAAGACAATTTGCACTTCAGTTACTCTAATTAGCAGTTGATTTAACCCCTCAGTGGATGAGCACCCTCCACCTCCTCGTGATGGTCACGCCAAGGGGTCATACCAGCACCAGCTTGGCACCTGGCACAGGGGACATGGCTGGCCCCACTGCAGCCAGTGAGAGGGTCTGCTTTAGCATCATGTGGTTGGATCTTTTTGTTTGTTTGTTGAAGCTCAGAGTGGATGCAGCCCTTGGGCAGTGGGTTCATGTAGCCCCCCTCCAATCCACCCTGTTCATTTAGCAAAACACTGTGCAAGTTATCTCTTCACACCAGCTTCCAGGACTCCAAAAGGAAGTTCTTTTTTCCTCCCCGTTCAATTCAGCTATCCCAAAGCAACTTACCCCACTGCTCTTACTGCTGGAGCTGGAAGCAAGGCTTGCTTGATGGAGAGCCAAGAGCCACTGCTTGGCATGGCAGAGGGAAAGCACAGTGCAATCCCTGAGCCACAAAGACTTTACATTTTCCTTCTCCTCTCTATTATGCCTTTATCCTTGAAACTCCCATTGAAGCCCAAAAAGCTGGCCTGCAGAGAACAGCCTTGGTAAGATGAGTCACACCACTGCTATAAATTTTTGTTATTATACTTTTTCGGTGGATCTAACAAAGCAGAGCCTCTTTGCCTCTGTCCGACAAACGCCAACCGGCAGCTGGGTGCCGGCACTCTCTGCTCCGCAGG